CTATGGTGTCACCCTTTCTATCGTTTAATTATAACTTTGCTATTTTTATTTTAGTTGTTATTACTATTATTACTATAATTTTATACTTTTTGCGTACTTTTCTCCTTATCGTATACTGTAATTGCTACATAGCTGCTATAAAAACGTTTTGTTATCATTATTAGGTATTAAATATTTCGTTTATTTAAATTTTGTTGTTGTCGTTTTTGAGTAAATTAGATGCAATATTGTATTGAATGCTGAAAATTCCTTGCTGTATCATTAATACTGCTTTTGGAATAAAGCAAAAATTGTTATTATTAAATAGACCTCATAAGTTTTCCAGTATTAGAGGATTATATGCAAATTTCAAGATAGTCTCTGAAAGATCCATACTGTTGCGGCGTCATTCTCTTATGAAGATTACTTGCAGATCAACTTCACACTAAAAACGTTTACTTTAGAGGAAGCATTGCAAAGGTGTTACTTGGAAATTAATCCATAACCTCAATAATGCCTAGCAAATATGGTTTTGTGAATCCCATAGAAATTACATTCTCATATTTAGGAAACCATAGTCATCAAATATGAGCTGAACATGCCTCAACTCCAAACAGCTGTGCACAGTGTAGACAACATAGTGAAACACTTAAAATACCTGTTGTGTTGATGAGGATAACAATGTCACATGAAGCAACCTAGACATTCAGTCGTGATACTACATCTGTACTGCTTCATGTAAATGGAAATTTCAGGAGGAATTCATCTCCACCACTGGTGATAAAAAATATTGCAGCATTATGTTTACAGTGTCAGTGAAAATAGCATAACAGACAATACATTGACAATAATAGAGCTAACAAGATTCAGTTGCCGTATCAACACAATCCATTTGTGAATTATACTATAAACTGAAATAATGCAATAAGTGAAACAGTGAGAAAAATTAAACGAGTAATCGCCTTCTCCACTGCACTACACTTGCAGCAAACATTAGAACCACCCACATTTGTTGGCCTGGCAATCAAGCTAAGCAGACAATGGCGCAATATCAGTAAAGCAGAGATTTTTTATGCAGTGTATTCACATAACCCATACTGAACTTCACCAGTCGGTGCAATGATATATTAAATCAAATAACAGATAACCTTCAAAGTTACGATAATTCCTGTCCAAACACACATACTGTGAAAGAGACATCTACATGATAACTACTGTTCCCACAGAAGGTTCTGTTAGCATTCATAGGTGATTTCCATGTGTTGATAGCATTCGTTCGTTAAAATACTACTGTTTTTCACACAAAAATAGGATGCGTTGATATCCTGAGACGTGAATCTTTGGCTCGCTTGAAGTTATATTGCTGCTAGTGATTTGCAAAGATGCGCGAGATTGTCCACATACGGGCTGGTCAGTGTGGTACCCAGATTGGAGCTAAGTTTTGGGAACTTATATATGACGAACACGGGATCGATCTGACGGATATGTACCATGGTGATTCCGATCTTCAGCTGGTACGCATCAATGTGTATAACAATGAAGCGACTGGAGGATAGTACGTACCATGTGGTGTGTTGGTTGGTTTAGAGCCTGAAACCATGGACAGTGTACGTGCAGGCCCCTTCGGTCAATTATTCCGACCTGATAACTTTGTCTTTGGACAAAGTGAGGCGAGGCCATTACACTAAAGGCGCCGAACTTATGGGTTCAGTGCTGGATGTTGTCCGTGAATAAGCAGAATCATGCGACTGTCTGCAAGGTTTTCAGTTGACTGGGGATCTGGAATGGGGACGTTACTGATTTCATAGATTCATGAAGAGTGCCTCTGATCGTATCATGAACACGTTCTCTGTAGTCCCTTCACCTAAGCTGCCAGATAATATTGTTGAAGCCTACAATACTGCCCCCTCAGTTCACTGGCCAATGGAAAATACTGATGAAAATTACTGAACTTTACAACGAAGCTTTATACGATATTTGCTTCCGCATACTTAAACTCATATGCTAAGAGTCGGATCACATGACGTGGACACCAACATGACTTGTCAGAAAATGAGAATTTCTATCAGTACAGAAAACATATAACGCAATTTTATTAAAACTTATTTACAAAAAAACTTACCAAGCAAAATTTCAACCAACATGCCTGATAAGTCCAGCCCATAACTTCTTACTGCTAAGCAAAGTAACCCAAGCGAGTTAGCGCAGTGATTTCCTGAACAAGAAGTTTTGTAATCCCATTACAACTAAATACATTAATTTTACGCGTTGCACACTGGAGACACGTTATGTAGAAGACAGAAGTAAAGGTTTGGAACTCAAATCATCACATTGCAAACAGTTGGACGATTAATGTGAGAAATGTTCCAATTTTCAGAGACAACTTTTGCTGCCAACTTTTGAGAGCCATTCATTAGAAGACACAAGCTGATACTCAGTTGTCACATTCCAGATTAAATCTGAAAGGCTGTACCATCGACTTTTAGAAGTGACTTACTAAAGAAGTCCAGTCTCTGCGCTTAATCAACCTATTCATGGGTGATTAGGCTAGCGAACACACTTATTCGAAGACTTTTGACATAGACTTCGAGGTTCCAATCGTCAAATAAGATTTACAACCGAAATCAGAAGACACAGAATTCATGAAATATAACATTTCTAAAATGTTAAAATAGACCACAATTTTTATGTGATGCGAATATGGCTGCTGTAGTATTCTTCAATGGCAAATTCACTTTGTTCGAAGGTTTCAGATACTCATATTCAAACATAGTGAGTGAGCAAAGAAGTCGGTTTTACGGACACTTTTTGAGTTCTAAAGAATATATATATATTTATTCCTGTTAATGCAGGAACATACCAATTGTACAGGCATGGATAAGTTATTATATAAATTACAGTTTGTTTGTTCAATCTAACATTAGAGTCAGTCGGAACAGTCTGCAAAATAGTCTGTCTGTGTAACACATAAAGAGATATAGAAATATTGTCTTCGCATTAACAAAAAACCCAGACTTCAGATGAGTGTGATACAAATATCTGGGAAAAATAAAGCTTGAAGTCAATTCTCCTATAAAACTTTGTTGTGTACAGCATCCGTGAGATAAAGTTTATTGATGTATTATTTTGATTCAATAATGTATTTATTCCATTTTTGTCAGCAGTCTTATCGTAGTTTTATAATAGGAAAGAAATTTGATCTTTGATACGAAAGTTAGATAAGGTAATGTTAGATTGTTTTACTGCATCAAATGGGGTCAATTCTAGAACTATCCATTTGCGCCATTTGCGTCAGCATGGCAGACTGTACATGTAAGTTGAGTAATACATTGATAACTGTTTGAAAACCAGTTGCTTCTTTATTTCAGATCAAGAATACTCCTTGTACAGAATGTTAGCCAGCGTTTTCAAGTGGTTGCATCGGATCGTTCATGGAATTTGAGTTTGAATTTACATAAATGGTCATTTCAGTTTGGATGTTGGGTTGTTCGACCTCAACCAGGAGGTATATAGAAGTTTACGCTCAGCAGGGAGATAAAGTATGTAAATATGAAAAGAACTTTATTATTTTATGTACATATAAATGTTTATAAATGTATATCATTGTATAGTAAACACTACCCATAATCTTGTTGTTTTTTATGTAATTTTGCGAAGCCTTAGAGTTTATTTAGTGTCGTAATATTTAGTAATGAGTCTAGGCGTTATAGTGTGCTAATAGCTCATGCGTTTTGGAAATAAGTGGTGCGGTGTGATTGGCATAGTCATTGGGATGAAGCAGTTTATATAGCAAGCGTTTGAAGGTTATGATAGAGTGACAGGTCCTTATTTCTAGGGGTAAACTGTTCCAGATCTTAGAGTACATGACTATGAAGAAGTTTGCACGGAGTGCTGTTTTACAGTTTTTCCTAGATACTTTGCACGTTTGGTTACGAAGGTTGTAAGAGCCTTCCGGTGGGAACTTGTAGTGGACCTAGTAGCTAGGTAAGTATATAAACGCAATTAAAAGGACAGAACAAGTACTAACAAATAAGTATATATAAAATATTCAGTTCACTTAAGTTAACATACACAAAAAAAAAGGACTGAGGTTATTTGAAGAAAACTATAACAGTCACAAAATACACAAATTATAGACGTACGAAATTATAGGAATGTAATTGTCCTTCTCTTGATTATACAAATTCTCCACTACAACTTCGCGCTGTCAACCGTCGGAAGTCTCCACGTAGAGTAAAGCAGATAGGAGCAAAGTTCTTGACGGGGATATGTCAACCAGTGCGAGGCAGCGTTGGTCAGCAGATGTGCTGGGCGAGCAGCCGGAGAGATGGCGAACGATTCGTTCCTTGCGCGCGGTTCAAGGTTTCAGGTTGAATTCCTTCCTTTTTTCCGTGAACATATAATTTGATATGTTTTCAGGTCGCCACAAACTGTATCTCTTTGCTGTCTGAGAATGATATTTTATGCAATATTTTAAAGAAGAATGTTAGGTTAATGCTGAGTCGTCTCACCCAGAGTGGGTCGATACCTAGAGTTATACACCTTGATGTGTAGTCCTTTTCGCAGTCAAATCCTAGTAGTTTAGACGTGAAGTATCGTTGGACACTTTCTATTTTAAGTTTGTCACTTACGCGAGTGCTGCTGAGCATAAATGGACAATATTCAAGCAGTGGTCTGACACAAGTTTTATATAATAATAGCTTCGCTTCGTAGTTGTGGAAATTCCTGAGTATGCATCCTAGAAGCATCCTCGATTTACGCGTCTGTGTCGCCACTTGCTCGGAAAATGTCAAGTCACTAGAGTACCTGAGTCCTAGGTCAACAACACTTTGGAGTTTAGGCAAGTCGATGGATTCAAGTACCAGTTTAATATTTATTGAGGGTGCACCGAAACAGATCCAACCACATTTTTTAAGGTTGAATTTTAGGTTCCATGTGGAGGACCATGCAGTTACTCGATCTAGTTCTTCCTGAACAGCTTTCTGAAAGTACCCTAAGTCATCACAGTGGAATGTGTAAGCTACTTTAAGATCATCTGCAAAGATGAATGGTTTGCCTAGTGAGAAACAGCTGCATATGTCGTTGACATATAGAGTGAATAGGAGGGGGCCTAAGACGCTACCTTGAACTACTCCAGAAGTGACTGGACTAGGTTTAGAGTTTACAGAACCCAGTCTAACTACTTGGGACCTATTGTTAAGGAATGATTCAATCCATCCTAATAATGGGTTACTTATTCCTAAGGAGTTTAGCTTATTTATTAGAAGCAAGTGGTCAACGCGGTCAAAGGCTTTGGATATGTCGAAGTAGATGACAAGTACTAGTTGTTGTTTGTCGCGGCTGCTAGTTATGTAGTTAAAGAAGTCAACGTGACATGTCATGCATGATCTGGATTTTAGGAATCCATGTTGGTTGGGACTTAGAATATTGCAGCTGAGCATATGTTTGAGGATATCATCTTTAACTATTCGTTCAATGATTCTAGATACTATGGGTGTAATATTGATTGGCCTATAGTTGTTGACTTCAGTTTTTGATCCGGATTTGTGTTTAGGTACTATAAATGTGGTTTTCCATTTATCTGGATAGGTTTGGCTTTCTAGGGACATTGTAAAAATCTTAAGTAATAAAACGGAAATGTCAGAACCACCGTGTTTATAAAGATACGATGGTATACCGTCAAAACCGGCACTACTAGAGTTTTTAAGAGTATTAACGGCTTGGTTAATATTAGAGTAAGTGAAATGAACTGTAGTGATTTGTTTCAGCGTTGAAGATGAAGGGAGTTCTATTTTAGATTGTAAACCGAGAAGTGGACTTGTAGGCTTAAGGTAGTTAGCTGCAAACGTCTCATTAAACAGTTCACACATGTCTGCATGTTTGCTGTATAGTTTGCCCTTGTTTATAAGGAGAGAAATTTTATGGCTTTGGCGATTCATTCGTTTCTTTAGTATTTCTGTGAGAGCACCTACTCTGGTGGTGCTGGCTAGTGCCGTGCATTCTTCATTTCTCATACGCAAGTTATGAGCTTGCGAGATGGAGCTAAGAGTACTAAGTATTGACCCTAGTGTACTAAAGTCGTGTCGCCTGAAGTAACTTGTTGACAGTCTTCTCAGTTTCCTACGATCCTTTGGCTTTATGAATGTCTTTCTATGTGGGGAAAACTTTAGTGTTTGAAATGGGATGACAGCATCTAAGCATGTGTTGGAGTTATAGTAAAAGATGTCTAGAGCTTTCGAGAGGCTATCAGTATAGAAGTACTCACTCCATTCTGAGGATCTTAGCATTGATTTTACTAGAGTCCAGTCTGCCTTACTGTAGTTCCTGTAAGTTATTTGTTGTGAAGTAGGGGTATGGGTTGCATTGCAACTTGACGGAAGTGGCAGTGCACACAGCACTGTTTTGTGGTCACTCCCTGGAAACTCAGAACCTATTAGGGTAGAAAGGGGACTTATATTGTGGCAGAAGATTAAGTCTAGTACGTTATTACCTCTTGTAGGGGTTGTGACGGTCTGCTTCCAGCCAAGTATATCCAGTGTGCCTAAGAACTTATCAAGTTTAGTTGGACCTGTGGGTATTTCCCAGTTGATTTCTGGTAAGTTAAAGTCTCCACATAGGATCTTATGATCGTAGTGGAGGGTGGATAATTGTTCTAGAGTATTAATAAGTTGGGTCTCGTAATTACTAAAGGTGCCAGGTGCTCTGTAGGTGCATCCAATTAATACTATTGCGTTATTTAAGTGTAAGTTAACCCATAGAGTCTCAGGCATGTTAAGTGTACTACTTTCTAGCTGTGATACAGTAAGTGCATTCAGAAAGTACATAAGACAACCCCCTCCCTTACCACCTTCCCTGTCACACCGAAAGTGTGTATAGTTATCTAAGCTTATCTCTTCATCCAGTATGTTCGAGTTACACCAGGATTCAGTGATGACAATTATAGGGGGTTTGTATATTACTGTGAGTGCTCTGAGCATCGGTAGTTTATTTAGAACGGATCTAGCATTTATGAGGATTAGGTAAAGATGAGATTTGAAATAGCATTTGAAGTACTTAAGTTCGTCAATCAGCCCCGAATGTGGTTCAGCACCCAGTAGTACTGTTTGACATGACGACCCTATGTTGAGAGGAGTTTCAGCATCATGTTCACCTATGTCTATCGAGTTGGTGTGTGCTGTTTTCGGTGAAGAATTGAGCGTTGGAGTACTGGATGTGCTATATGCTAAGGCATTTTTATTTTTAGTTAAGCTAGAAACGGGGGTAGGGATCTTTATTTGACCTAAACTTGTGCATGTATCAAGTGTGCTTAGTGGGTGGGGGCGAACTAGACTGTTCCTACATTCATGCAAAGGGGGAGCCAGCACTAGCGGTTTAGGAGTGTTAGCATCCCTACCAGCTGTTTTTTTCAACGCTGACAGGGACGCAGGGGATAAAAAATGATTGGGACCTTGTGAAGACCATGGTCTATTATTCCACCTATTGTTAGGTACTAGTGGTGTCCTTGTAAGGGTTTCGAATGTACTGCTTTGTGGGTTAGTTCCCAGCAGACTTGTACCATATATCCGATCAAAATTTATTTGCGTGCCATACTGTGAATGCCCTGAGTTGTTGGTGGTCGAGTTCTGACTACTGTCACTTGTACTATTGAGGGTGGCATTGTTTTGGCGTTGGTTATCAGTGTGGGCCATGGTGCTATTTCGCACGTTGTGGGTGCCAAAACTATTGACCGTGGGGAATGTGGGCTTACTTATACTGCAGTTGTTGTTGTTGGCATGATTTGGGGTCATATTCTCTTTTTTTACCGATGGACTTATGGCTAGGAGCTGACAGGGTCGACTTTTGGGGGATTTTGACTTTTTTTCCGGGATTATTTGGTGACATGTCTATATCTACAGTGATAGGTGGTATAGTTTTATTGGCTATTTGATTACAATTTAGCGGCCTTTCGGTCGGTGTCGCTCTCTGAGAAGATAATTCTGTGTGGTTAGAGAGGGGTGGTGCGGTGGATTCTACGGTATCTCTCAAAGGGTTGGGTATAATTGCTGCTTGCAATGTCCTATTGTTTATTCCACAGTTAGACTCAGTGTGATAATTATATACGCGCCTTTCTATGACGGTCTTGTCCACCGCAACCTTTACTAGTTTATAATTTCTGGCTTGCAGTGGGGTGTGTTGGGAGTGGATAAATTTTCTGGCCTCAGCAGGTGTTTCGAACTGAAAACGAATAGGACAACACTTTTCATGTTGACTCTTCTTCAGCCTGTAGTACTTAGTCTTGGAGTTGGGCATTTTCGCCTCACTAAGTAGGATGCGCTGTACCTTTTTTAGTGCCTCATT